TCGACAAACAGCGCCTGCTTTACGACTGATCTTGAGCAGTTCCCTGTAAGTTCCTATATTTCACGTCACCCTTATCAAATGTCCTGGTTCATTGCTGGTTTTCCGACTAGAGCGTGCGCTCTCTTGTTCGTAGCCGTTGAGCAAAAACTGTAGGATCGAAGAAGCCATCGTACCGGCCGGTGTCCAGCTTTTATGAATAGAGAACGCGCTTATCGCCCATATGGCTACGATTCGACACATTCCGATTGTGATCAGGGAAGCAGCAAAACGTTCGACTTTTTTCAGGTATACTGCGCTAGTTGGCGTCCAGCCTACGACATTCGAGCCGTAACGACCGCTGAAGGCGACCAGGACAATTCGATTAAAGTACGTAAGGCGTAATAAGCAGATTACTGCTCTTAATTTGGCAATGCTGAACTCGCATTCTCTTATCGCGTAGTCATTGACCCCTCTATGAATCGCTTATCGCTCCCACCTACACTTGTCTGTCATAAAGAAGAAGGCGATAGTGAACGAATGAGCTCGTTGATCAGAGAGAGAGAGGGGGCTGAATCATCAGCGTATTACAAACAGTTTAATGAGTACATTTGACTGGTTCAGCTGTGTTATTACGGTCTCGTGGAGCAGAACACCGGCGATGACTGGAACGACACCGACATGGTGCTATCAACCTCGTGCCCATCGGTAGGAGGATGCGCTCCACAACTGGCCACACTATCGGCAAGCATTCACCGTCCTAACAAGTAGTGAGTTTTTCTTTCTTTTATGACAGAGGACAAAGGTGATGTGGAGGCCAATGACCCTGTTTTCTACAGTAGTCTGAAGGTCAGGCTCCAGTTTCACTCTCTGTTAACCAACCAAGGTAACAGGCTTGGAAGAATAGCCGTCAAGTAGGTCCTCGAAGTAATTCCAAGGGCCAAATCGCATTCAGAGGTCACTACTTTTACTGCATGTAGACTGTATGACGTGTACTGGTCCGAATGCCCATGGCTCTAGAATTTTTTGAATAATTTTGAATTGATCTTTGTGGCGGCCCCATCGAGACTTGTATAGGGGCAAGTTGCGCCATGTATCACGCGCGGTCCGGTGGTCAAAACTTAGGTCGCCTCCAAAATGTGCCTGCCGGAGGTTCCATCCATAGTGACGTCCTCAATGGAAGAATGGTAAATTGGTAGGGCGCAGTATGGCGACGGGGGGGTGGCATTTTGTACTTTCACTGCTTCACTACTTCCGGTTTACAAGTCTCACTCTGGTGGAACCTGTGAACTCCTGTGAAGCTGGATCAAGCTCGTCTAGCCTGTTGACCATTTGTTCAACAAAGAAAAGGCTGTCTAGATGGAATCGACAGCATCGATGGGAAGCAAAAATGCTCCCCCTGGCGGTCCCCCCCCCCGCGCGCGCGGGAACTGCTGCCAGGTCGATAGTATACCATTCTTGTAGAGAACGATACAACAGTTAGCTCCTGCAGCTTTGTATAAGGCAGAAAGTTCCTAAGAATTCTTAATGAAGGAGACTGAATGTGGACTCATCGATAGAGGACTGATTAACGCTGAATTCCCGAGGGGGAGGGGGAGCGGGGGGAGAGAAAAGTCACACTTTACTTTTTTATCTTGAAATTGTCTTACTTATCAGTGAGAATTCATTTCCAACTTCTGTATTCTCTCAACTTTGATGGAATCTACGGAAAAAGTGTAATGGCCCATACCACGTACCAGTGCGTGCTATTAGGGGTAAGGGACCTAGTAGAAGCAGAACTCCCTGATATTAAGTACAGAGTTCGTTTAACGCTTTTTTTGAAAGCACTTTTATCGTATTGAATGTATTCTTTACTAGTACTGAGGCCTCTATCAAAAGATTCGTTTCACTGTAGGAAGATTCGGCCTGCTCATGGATTCTGCTTTCTCAAGGAAATGAGTTTGCTTCTTGGAACATTATCACTTTACGATGGCACCCCATACGGAATAATCCCTCTACTTTGCTTGGAATTAAGTAGAAGTCCACAATGGTTTATTCGAATGCCCTTGAGAAAATAGTCGATTTTCAAATTCTCAAAATGCAACATTGGAAGTTACCATATCCTGGTTTTGTCCGATTTGGTGACGGTTTTGATATTGGTTCTTTAGCAGTTAAAATCATAATTATGACTGATCAACTAAGACGGCGCATTTTACGGTCACGCTTAGCGGTGCACCTCACTATGGGTTTGTGTAACACACCCCCATTCAACGCTCACAACTCGA